ATGGTTCACATTTTTTGTGTTCAACAGAATGAAATAAATCGTCGCTGAGCTTACAAAAATCGCCATGTGTTTTGGACCCACTTTATAGGAAACGCAAAAATTAGTTTTCATAGAATGTATTCATAGCATAAAGAACTATTTTTTAAAGATAATGTTACTTACATATTTTTGTAGATTTAGATTAGTTTTGGAAAGTTAAGATGATAAATGAGCTTGCAAAAAAAATACTTTGCTTGAATATTACACATAGGGTGAATTCTTAGAATATTAAATATTCGTTATGTGCCTCAAGTGCACATAGCGATTTTGTAAAGTCACAGATTTTATAAAAATCACAATTGTTAACACCACGTAGCTATTAAATAAAACAAGTTTATTTATAAAAATCAACTTTAATCACATAAAAATGTCCCTATCCCTATGACTTATTAACTTAAACGAAAATTGAAAACTGAAAGTTATTGTTTTGACAAAACCAAACAAAATAGGCAGGTACGCGGTATAATAGCGTATTTAATATGTGAACTAATAATAGGAGCTAAAATTCAAAATTTTGTTAAAAATAAAACAGTAAATATTTAAGTGGAATAAGTAGGTACCGTACTAAGATAATAAGATCTTATCAATGGTTTAAATTATCATAAAATAAATGGTAATCACGGTGCATGTAGGGTTTCAGACTTTGTAAATGGCTGTATTTAGTAGCGGTCCATTATACAGGTTCGTTGGTTCTGCGATAGCTGATGACGTGTTCGCTCTTCGTTGAGGTAAGGTGTTCCAGTGATCTGAGTGCCGTAATTTATATTTAACTTCACCATTTACATAGAGAAGTCTCCTTATATCATTTACTGTAGCCTCGCCAGATTTTCTGCCTGGTCTTATGCTAGAAAAATTACCCAGCACACACTCGTAATTTTTAAAGAATGTGAAGTCTAAATAATGTACATAATATGGTTGCGAAGATCTCACTTGTCTCATTCGAGAAACATAATCTGAAGGAGAATAAATGGGAGCCTTAAACTTTTTTCCAGCGTCGAATGGACGCTGTCTACCTCCATCATAGTATATCCTTTTTCAAGTATTATTTGTTCAATTACAAGTCCGTTTGTCTGTGTTAGCTTTAGATTTTGATACACGAGCCTCATCTTTTTTTACGATGTGTAGCTGATACAAATCTTCTGGTACGTTTCCTTGCTTATAACCAACACATGTGGCACACTGATCTTTGCGTGGCTTAAAAATTGAAATCCTATTTTCATGTAATATTTCATGAAACTTCTTCCTCTTCAGTGCATATATATTATTAGTCTGGCACCAAGCAGTATACACAGAATGCATGTGGGTAAAGGACTCAAAAGATTCTTCGACATAAATCCTAGGACTGTTTGCTCGACAGTAGTGGCTAGGTACTTTTGGTATACAATCCAGCCACTTGTTGACCGAATCAGACTTAAGAATTTTGGTTGTAGTACTTGAATGAATAGGAACTCTGTCGATTCTTCGCGCTGTGTTGACATCTTCACTATCTGTTAGACAAACGTTAGACCGAATCCATAGATCTTTCTTAAATCAAATGTGGCAAGAAACGTTTCCCAGTTTCCCTACAAACACGAGTTTTTGCACCATACATGCCTGGCAAATAACAATCAAACCCAAAAGATTTTCTGTGTAAATCTACAGAAGTTTTTCGTCGTCGTAAAATATTTCGTACCTGAGTCAATCCATTGATGTACGATTTCTTTGCATGCCAAGTTGGTAACTGCCAAAAATATCGAAAAATATCTTCACGCATTTCATCATTTATAGCAGCACATGAATAGCTTCTATCTGACTTTTTAGCTGCTCTATGATGCCGTGTAGTGGCGGTTCAGAATATCCACTACCCCATATCTTCCCGTGGGTGTCGTAAGAGGCGACAGAGGGAAACAGGCAGGAGATGGGCAGCAGCATCTTTCTGATAACAACTGTGTTATAATAAAAAACTGCGGTTGCCAACCCGCTCGCCAAGCGTGGTAACTATGGCAAATATCCCCCCATGAATAACGACGCAAAAAAACGGCACCCAGTCCCCGGTGGCCCCGCAATTACTGGCTACGGTGGCGACCATGGTAACGGCGGGGCAGGGGGTTCTAAGAATCTCCGGTGAAGGTTCGGTTGCCACCTACGACGACTCGACCTGGCAACATATAACGCACGCACTCTGAGGACTGACGAGAAGATACTGGAGCTGGAAGAAGAGGTAGACAAGTTGCGCTGGCATATTATTGGATTATCCGAGGTCCGAAGAGAGGGGGAGGATACGGCAATCCTCGAGTCCGGCAATTTGTTCTACCACCGGGAGGGCGACCATCTGTCCCAAGGAGGTGTCGGATTTATCGTCCACAAGTCTCTCGTCAACAACGTTGTAAAGATTGGGAGTGTGTCGACGAGGGTCGCGTACCTGATACTAAGAATCACCAAACGGTATTCGCTGAAGGTCATACAGGTTTACGCACCAACCTCGGCACATCCCGATGAGGAGGTGGAGGAAATGTATGAGGATATTTCCAGAGCCATGCATTCCTCCAAAACCCACTACACGGTGTTGATGGGAGACTTCAACGCAAAACTAGGCACAAGAGAAAGCGGTGAGCTGAAGGTGGGGAAATTTGGAGTAGGGCAACGGAACCGAAGGGGCCAGCAGCTGGCCGACTTTATGGAGAAAGAGGGACTCTTTATGATGAACTCTTTCTTCCAGAAGCGGCCCCACAGGAGGTGGACCTGGTTGAGCCCCGACGGTTCGACAAAAAATGAGATTGACTTCATTATGACGACCAGACGCCAACTGTTCAGTGATGTCTCAGTGATCGCAAGGGTGAAAACTGGCAGCGATCACCGAATGGTTAGAGGCACACTGAACCTAAATGTTAAGTTGGAGAGGTCTCGTCTAATGAAGTCAATGCTCCGTCCCCCTCGTGCTCTAATCCAGAATCCCGAAACCTTTCAGCTCGAGTTACAAAACCGCTTTCAGTGCCTAGAGGATTGCAATGCAGTGGACTATATGAATGACAAGCTCGTGGAAACTGTCCATGCGGTCGGAGCTAAGTTCTGCAAGACCCGCCGCAGAAGAACACAAAAACTCTCCGATCACACTCTTAATCTCATGGCTGTTAGACGGGAGATGAGGCTGCAATCGTCAACAGATTTGACAGCATACAGGCAACTAAACAGACAGATCTCCAAATGCATGCGGCGAGACTACGCAACTTTAATACTGCTCGTATTAAAGAAGCGATCGAGCGGAACCAGGGCTCCAAAGTCTTTGCCAGAGATCTGTCTGCCAGGAAGAGCCAACTGTCAAGGCTGAAGACTGAGTGTGGTAATATCGTTTCCGGGACACCTGAGATTCTGAGTGAGATGGAGAGGTTCTATGGGCAGCTGTACACATCATCGTTGGAGCCACACGCAAGTGTGAGTAACGATCCTAGAGCAAGTCTTATCCGACACTATTCCGATGATATCCCGGACGTCAGTCTGAGCAAGATTAGAATGGCTCTCCACCACCTTAAAAACGGCAAGGCCCCGGGCGAGGATGGAATTACAGCGGAGCTTCTAAAAGCGGGTGGAACACCGGTACTTGAAGTCCTTCAGAAGCTCTTCAATTCCGTTCTCCATGGTGACACTACTCCGGAGGCGTGGAGCAGAAGCGCGATGGTCTTGTTCTTTAAGAAAGGCGACAACACTCTCTTGAAGAAAAACTACAGACCGATTTCCCTTCTGAGCCGCGTTTACGTGCTGTTTTCGAGAGTCATTACGAATCGTCTCGCACGCAGACTCGACGACTTCCAGCCTCCCGAACAAGCCGGTTTCCGGGCTTCAGTACCATAGACCACATACATACTCGTACCCTTCGGCAAATTGTACAGAAGTCCAAAGAGTACAATCTGCCACTTTTCCTGGCGTATGTGGACTATGAGAAAGCCTTTGATTCCGTCGAAATTTGGGCGGTGCTACAGTCTCTTCAGCGGTGCCTAGTTGACTGTCGGTATATCGAAGTGCTGAAGTGTTTGTACAGTAGGGCTATGATGGCTATCCGAGTACAGAACCAGAGTACGAAACCTATCCAACTGCAGAGAGGTGTAAGACAGGGTGATGTTATATCCCCGAAACTCTTCACCGCTGCGTTGGAAGACGTTTTCAAGCTACTGGACTGGAAAGGATACGGTATTAACATCAATGGCGAGTACATCACTCACCTTCGATTTGCCGACGATATAGTCCTTATGGCAGAATCGCTGGAGGACCTTAGCACTGTGCTCAATAACCTCAATGGTGTCTCCCAACGGATAGGTCTTAAGATGCATGCATGCATGCAAGAACATGGACAAAACAAAGATCATGTTTAATGTCCATGTCACACCTATGCCGGTAGTTGTTGGGAGCACTATGCTCGAAGTTGTTGACGAGTACGTTTACCTGGGACAAATAGTCCGACTAGGTAAGTCCAACTTCGACCGAGAGGTCAATCGACGGATTCAACTCGGCTGGGAAGCGTTCGGGAAATTACGACACATCTTCTCGTCAGGTATATCTCAATCTCTGAAAACTAAAGTGTATAACCAGTGCGTGTTGCCAGTGATGACTTACGGATCTGAGACGTGGTCCTTCACCGCTGGCCGTATGAGGACGCTCAAGGTCGCTCAGCGAGCTATGGAGAGGGCTATGCTCGGAGTTTCACTGCGTGATAGACTCAGAAATGAGGATATCCGCAGTAAAACCAGAGTGACCGACATAGCCCAACGGATTAGTAAGCTAAAGTGGCAATGGGCCGACCATGTAGCTCGAAGAACCGATAACCGATGGGGAAGAAAGGTTCTCGAGTGGCAGCCTCGTACCGGTAGGCGTAGTGTAGGGCGACCCCCCACTAGATGGAGTGACGACCTGGTAAGACATGCAGGAAGTCGATGGATGCAGGTGGCTCAGGACCGTGCTTTGTGGCATTACTTGGGAGAGGCCTATGTTCAGCAGTGGACCTGTGAAGGGCTGTAATGATGATGGTTACAAGGTTTATCCCTCATTTTTCTACTTGTTTTCATAACTTCTTCTAATTTAAAACTCTCGTCAACTTTAACAATCTTATGGCCTGTATAGTTCTTTCCCAACAGTCTCAACAATTGATTTTTTTTTCTTTTTTTGGTCTCACTTATAACAACTTCGTTTTCCTCATTGATATTATGTGAAATATTTTCCTTTTCGAAAATTACAGGCTCAAATAAACCAGATTGCTCGCTTAATTGTAGCATTGGATAGTGATCTAAGGTGGCATTATTTATTAGCACGGAAGTGTATTGTCTTTCTAAGCAAGAGTCAGAACCAATACTAGCAGCAGCTGTTGTATAAGTTAATGTTTGACTTGTTGCTGTGATAATCGTAGTTATTCCCTCGCTCGTTGTGATAATGCTCCTTGTAATTTCCGAAATCGTATCCATGTTGATTTCTGTATGTTGATATTCACTGGCCGTTTGTGAAGTTGTAGCCGAAGGAAATAGAAAAGAAGATTCTTCTTCAAGATCTGTAGCAAATCGACTTATCGAGAGCTGTTGATCTTCCGTGCATAATGATACGAGTTGTTTGCTTCTCCAAAATCTTGACATGACTAATGATATCTGAAAAGGGTAGCAAAATATAAAGCATTAGTTTAAAACATTAACTGATATAACAAGTTAGTTGTGTATAGTTTACAGAAGCGTATCACAGTTCTTCACAAAATATAACTAACACCTATTACTATCCACCACCATCGTTTAAAATAATTTTATAAAATATACAAAATGGATTTAGTGTCTAAAGGTAAAAAAAAAACATTCAAAATACTTACATTATACTGACTTCGGTAACTCAAACTTTTACAGTTTTACTCCAAATAAATATTTTTCTTACTCTTAACAAACTGACACAATAATTACAAAACCGCTTCGAAAAACCGCCAAAAGCGTACTGAACAATTTCGTAGAAAATATAGGCAATAAGTGACGCTCAAACTATGTGTCGAGTTATGGTACAAGACTAAACATGCTTAAAAATGTCGCTATGTGATGTAAAATACATAGCAGGCGAAATTGATAAGTTTAATCTATAGTGATCTTTTATAGCTATGTGATTTATGACACGTGGTGGTTTTAAAGGAACATTTAATGTATGAACGTCACATGGCTACATTTTGTAACTCCGTGAATATCGAACTTATCACAAATCTGTTTTTACAGATTGTGTGTATTGAAATACGGATTAAATTGGTATTAAAAACAAAAAATCATAAAAAAACACATAGCGATTTTTGCAGGCGCAACGACGAAATGCAACTTTGATAGAAATTTGAACTGGTTAAGATGTTTTGTTGGACTACAAGAGTCAACACTCAAAAAATCTGTCATCGATACATAATCTAAAATCTATTGAAATTAATGATTAATGCTAGAAATTACAATTATTATTAAAATGTGTCGAGTAATATGTTAGATTTAAGTCGCAAAAACATGTACGAGAAAAAAAATTATGATTTAAATTTCACCTAAATTAAAAGTTTAAAAGCCACTTGATTACATTCCGGGTGCAATAATCACTGAAATTGATAATTATAAATTTTTCGGCAGATCTACCCATATTATAAGCAGTAAAGGAAAATTTAAGGAAGCAGGCTGATGATCAAGATGCACCATATTCATAAATAAAACCGGAGTGAAGAACTAACTTAGAGTGTTACCACATTCAATAGATTAGACGATGTCAATCGATAGTTTCTACCACACCGATCGAGCGATGGTAGAATGGGTTAGTCGCCGTCGATCATGCTGCTTGATTATTCGAGAACGAACCGTCTAGTTATTATGGCCATAAAAACGGCCGCAGAGTCCTCAGCGTCCGCGTCTCTGTAATCATAATACGAGCAAGAGCGTACTGGTCAACAACAACATGTCCTCTTCTGAATACATTTTGAAAGATACTGATGACGATTTCGATGAACCACATCGATTAATTGTCGATCGACCAGTATTCATCGATCAGCTAAAGGTACCACACCAATCAATCGATATCTATCGACAATTGATCGATTGGTGTGTCAACACCCTTACAGCCCAACTGATGTAAAGTGGCTACCGTAGCCTCTGAAAACCTGCAACCAATTTCAAAAACAAAAACAAAAATTTAAAAACAACTGGCGTGGATAAGATGGAATGCGACAGTTTGTAGAGAGAGTTTTCTTGAGACCGGAAAACGTCACACCCTTCTGCTTGATGCTAGAAATAGGTACGATAGCACACAATCCACCTGATGGTAAGTAGATGCTGTGGTCCATAGACATCTACATAAACACATCAACAGAATCTAGGGATATTTTATATTTCATCAAATATCTAAAAATCTGTGATCATTTCTTGATATAGTAGATAGAAGAACAGTAGGTTATTTTAAGGTCTTTAATAAAAAATAATACAAGCATTTTGTAGTTTTTTGTTTTAACATCTAACAATTTTAAATTTTTTAAAATAGAATAAAAGAGGTTTCAATCTATATATAAACTTTTTATGGCAATTAAAAAGATTTTAAAATTTAAACTTTCTAGGGATACCTTAATCCTAATTAAGGTATCCCTAGATTCTGTTGATGTGTTTACATCTTCGATTAAGAATCAAAATTCAGATGCTTTGTTTCCAGATTCTCTGCACTCACCATACGAAACACAACAGTATTAACCTGTTATTTTACGCTTGTCTTCTGTGGGAGCGTGGTCCTTCCCCATTCGTGTTACAACCATAATATAGCTGCGGCGTAGCTCTACCAGGTATTAAAGTTTATTCTATTCTATTGATCGATTGCCAGTGAAGATCACGCCGCCATAGCCCGCACAACCCGCGGTTTACGACCGTTGAACGCTTGAGCGACCGCGATTAGATCATAAACCTACATTTCTTACATTCTTAGCGAGTCGCTGTCCTGCTACCGCTGCAGGCACGGCTAAATATCGCTTCGTAAGTTCTTAACATCAGACCTTTTTTATAGGATATAGGACAAATGAGCTTGAGTGGTTGCTGTGGCCCATAGATGTAGATGACATCTATCCTCAATTACGAATCAAAATGAAGATGTGTTGTCACCCGTGAGGACTAAGATGGAATGCCTCGTTTACATCTCGTTGTAAAAAGGCAGTTATATTAGTAGTATAGTTGTAGCACGAATGGGTCGGCTCGACCGGGGAAAGACCACGCTCCAGAAACGGTAAAATAGTAGCTTAATGCTGCTGTGTTTCGTATGGTGAGTGTAGAGAACCGGAGACCCATTTTACTGGAAACGAGGCATTCCATCTTAGTCCTCGAGGGTGAAAACGCATCTGCATTTTGATTCGTAATCTAGGTTGTGTGCTCGTTTGCCACCCCACCCTATAAAAAATACTTTATTATATAATATTGAGCTTATGATAAAATAGTTTTTTGATATGCGACGTTCTATGAATTTCAGTTTTACACACATGGTCAGATCTACGTTTGTGTAAAACCTCAGGATCAAGGGGTGTTTCCGTGTGTTTCCGTTGTTCTTTAACTTCTTAGACATCTGGAATTCTGGCTTCTGGCTTCCTCGCGAAGTTCTTTTTCATCGCCGGGCACGTGGTAAATCAACTACTGAAATTGCAGCTGACTATTTCATTGCCGGGGGGTATCGTACGCGAGTTGTTGGCGTACTATGAAAATTTTTAGAGCGCGTAGTCAAAGAGGTAAAGATATTAAAATTCCCTTTAATATAATAGAAACTTAATTTCATACATATTTTTTATTAATTACATAAATTCTATGTAACAGAAATGTTTATTAATGAGAGTACAGCGAAAATTATTCCATATTTTTTTAGTATTTTTAAAAAAAAAATCCGTTCATCCTTCTCCATCCATTCAGCCAATAAGAGTCCTCTGCTGAACATAGGTCTCATTCATAGCAGGCCTCGTGGTGGGATTTTGCCATAGTTGCCACGCTTGGTAATCGGATTGGCTACCGCAGTTTTTTATCTCCTGTTTCATCTTACGACATCCTCGGGAAGAAATGTGGTAGTGGATATTCTTACACCGCCACTACTAATAAAATTAAAACATAGAAAAGAGAATTCTTATTCAAATAAATTATAAACGATCGTTCGAAAATACCTTTATAGTGCGTAGAATCAGTAAGAAATGCAACGAAACTAGTTCTATTTAATACAAGTTTAGTTGTGCGTTGTATTTACCTGTTTTTGTTGGCCGTTTGATGTGTGTGATGAGTTCAACACAGTGTGTACCTGACAGTTATCATGACAATGTCATATTCGATTCATGACATACGACTGGCGAGAGCTTTCCCCAGCTCTCTACGACTTCGGTCATTTGTTATTATGATTCGAGCGCACTAAGCGCACATTTGATTTACTCAAGTAGTAGCAGTGTAAACTTGTATTAGGAATAATATCAGTTAGTGGTTTTTTTTAATAGGATAAGGGTGACGAACGAGCACACAGTCTACCTGATAGTAAGTGGATGCTGTGGCCCACAGACATCTACATTTAACCTCGATTAAGAATAAAATTGGTCTCCGGTTCTCTACACTCACCATACGAAACACAGCAGTATTAAGCTGCTATTTTACACAGGTATTCTGTGAGAGCGTGGTCCTTCCCCGGTCGAGCCGACCCATTTATTCTACAACCATAATATAGCTGCAGCGTGGCTCTACCACTTACTAGTGGTGGTTGTGGTACTTCCGATTGTCTTCGTTCATAGCTAAAATGTCTGTGTGTAACATAACATCATCTTCCTCCATCTTCTAAAATTGTTATTATTCGTAGTCCACCACGGCTATATAATTAATTTTGATCTGGATGTAGCCGTGAAGAACCATGACATTGGGACGTCGAACACCTCGGTCCTCTCCGCGACCATGAGTGCTGTAAAGTGCTCGAAACGTCGAGAATATAAAACAAGTTAATATACGCGATAAAGTCCGTAAAACTAGTTTTATTTAAATGTGCACATTTAATGTTCGCATAAATATAAGAAATCATTATCTTCCTTTTGAACACACTTAACAACATTTTTAATGTAATTATTTAGACGGCCAATTGACTTGAAACTTTGCACTCGTATTAAGGACCAATGACAATACAATAATTTAAAAACTTTTCCCTAGTATCCTAATCAGGATTACCAGGATCACTCTCTCTAGAATTATTACAGATCACGATCGATGCGTATATTTGAAGTTTTCTTAAATTTTAATTGGAGCGGAGCTCCCATGGCGCAAGAAAACGATGCTTTGAAATCTATCTCCACCGTAACCCGTAGGCCAATTTACATATTATAAGCAATAAAAATCTGAATTTGAAGTTTTTTTTTTCTATTACCATTGGCTAATTCATTGGAGTAAATAAATTAGCGAATTGATTAGATGAGCTGAATTTACATCAGCGCAATGTCACACCATTTGATTGAATCTTTTGTTGAAATAAAGATATTTATGACTTTAAACTTTTACTCCGCTCCGTTTATGATGCTAGCAAAAGGTTTTACCTTCGTCGCATCGGTCCTAGTATTATTTAGACAACAACAAACTAGCATAGAATTCATCTGATGGTA